GTCCATAAGAGTCCCGGCCCTGACTTGGTGCATCCTAGAGTGCTAAGAGAGTTGTGCAACCAGCTTGTCGAGCCCCTGAAGATCCTGTTTTGTAAATGCCAGGATCAACAAAAGGTCCCCAGTGATTGGAAAATGCTGATGTAAGTCCTATCCTCAAGAAGGACGATCGTCATTTCACGAACAACTATAGACCGGTGAGCCTGACCAGCATAACATGTAAAGAACTTGAGATCATTATCAGAGATGCCACGATGGAGCATCTACTACGAAACCACCTTGTAAAGGATTGCCAACATGGTTTAATGCAGGGGCGCTTCTGCTTAACAGAATTACTCGAGGTATTGGATATTTGAATCCATATTCTGGAGCAGGGTGGTAATATCGACAATTGATACCAAGGTTCTAGGTTTTGTCAAGGCTTTCGACATTGTACCCCATGAAAGGCTGAAAATTAAACTGGAAGGGTACGGAATTCGAGGAAATGTCCTGGCGTGGATTGAAGACTTTCTACATGACCGCAAGCAGTGTGTGGTGATTAATGGCACGAAATCATCATCCGTACCTGTCACAAGCGGGGTACCACAGGGCAGTGTATTGGGCCTGCTGTTTGTTTGCTTGTTTCATAAATGACATGCCTGACGTTGTGCACTCTTCCAAACAAATGTTTGCGGATAACGCCAAGTTATTTCGGGAAATCAAGAACCAAGAGGACTGTGAAGAGCTGCAGAAGGACCTCTGTGAGCTCCAAGAATGGTCGAAGAAATGGCTGCTGAGATTTAATGTCACGAAGTGTAAGGGAGACATGTTTGGCTGTTTCCCTTTCATTCTTCTTTGATTATTCTTATTTCTTTTATCTACATTTATTAATAGCTGTTTAAGACAGATTTTTCTATTTATCTTTTCTTGTGTATATATTAATAATTTCATTTTCTAAGTTTTTCTGTGTATATGTACAGTATCTATCTTATATTTCTTTGTTTATATTTTCTAAGTTAAAATCTTTTCTATACTTTATTTACTCTCTGATTATTTCTTTCATTTCTATATTTTATCTTTCTTTCTCTCAATTTATTATTAAGCCTTTGCCTGGGTAAACCATGTCATTCTTACTATAACACTTACTATACTTACAACGGAAAGCCTGCCACCACCCAGATTTTTATTAGAATATAAGATACCTCATTGTGTACTGCGCACATCATTGTCATTCCTAAAAACCCCATTTAATTCATATTACGCTATATAACATTCAAATCCACCGCGCTTGTAGAACCTCAGAAAACGGGAAACATTGATAAAGGATAACTCACCTACTCAATGTTACTAGACCATGCGTTGTATTGTACCCAGGTACAGTTATATAATGTTAATTGTATGTATTCATAGCATTAAGGAGAATTCAGGGTATCCATAAGATGATTGGGAAAGTCCAGTTGAGCCGGGCTAGTGTACTGTAGGACTAAGTGTGGATCACGGTTTGAAGGTCATACTATTTACGTCTGTGAACGTGTAGCGAACATAGCTTCCACAGATAGCATATGAAAATACATGAGAACAATGATCTGGGAAAAGGATAAATGTATCAGAACTATGTGAGGTGTTGGAAGTGACCCAGAAACTATGCTTGAAAGGAAATAATCTTGTATGCGTCGGTATGAACTTAATACACCTCGTATCCTCACGTGACATATACCCACGACAGGTACAGTGATCAGAGAATCTTATGTCTGTGTTCAAATAGTGCAATGTGTGAGAGGAGGATCCCTCATTACAGTTTTAAGTGAAGTTGATACACCCCCGCCATGAACATTCAGCCTTTGTTTTAAGGCGCGTCATGTACCCGCCTCGGGTGTGCTGCGTTGATATTATAACCCAATGAATTTACCCACGAACTAACAAACCAAGACCTTACCTTAGTGTGTAATTTAGGATTAAAATATGTGTTTATACGGCATGAGTGACAATATACCGAAAAGTGTTCAGGTGAGAACCGTAAGAAATAAAAGTAAAAATTAAAGATTGGAAACTGTAGGCCTACGCGGTGATGAGCGGCAGGGCACTGCCCTCAGTACCCTCCTTTCTACCGTCACTTCAGGTCAGTGTCCTATCGGGCTATATCCCGCCCTATAATTAAGGCTTATATAGAAGTTATTACCGTTTAAAGCTTTGCCTGATATATAAGTGTAATAGTAATGTGTTTGGGGGTGTGATAACCGCCCATCAGGCATTATTTCTCAGTACCCTCCGTTCTACCGTCACCTCAGGTTCCATGCGGTCGGAGTGCCTTGCTGCCCGGCAGCCATTATCCCTATGAGCGTCCCAACAGGTGGTGACTACTCCCAGCTATGCCACTCCACTGTGAACCTGTGGATTTCCAGCACACCACTCCACATGAGTAGAACAAATAAGGAGACCGTGAGAAACTCTGCGGTCGTCACTTGGAGCGACCTATAATACCAGGCGTAGAAATAGTACTGGTATGTCTCTGGGTGAAGCCCTCGTCTTTACCCACCGAGGGCGGTGTGCGAACGAGGTGCCTGTTGTGTATACCTAAAAGTCACAAGGAGTCCCATACCTGCTGGAGTGTAATCTGTGTGTTGAGATGGTGCTACTATGTATGATAACCGACGGTGCTATATTCCATACAGGTGGAGCAGTCTGATGTGTTAAGGGATAGTGTAAGAAGGAATGACCAAGGTAAGGAGGTCACAGATTGTTATGCAATAAGTATGTGGATGACACGCCATTAATGTAAGACGTCTGGTGCCCATCTGGGTAACCAACATTTTCGTTGTTCTTCTGAGGAAGACCCATTCAATTGTATGTTTTTTACCAGTATGCTTTATAAGGAATAAATTAATTAAGACATGTTATGGTTTCACCCTTCTTTCCCCTTATCGATCTGGTCAATGGAAAACCTAACCCAATGCCTAGTCCACTCTGCACACTACCTAACGAGCTACTTGCTGTCCAGAAGGGGTCTGGTGGCAGCGACCCTTAGAAATTAAGATTAGAGTTAAGTATTTACCCTTAGTATTAGTGACTCCCAGTCTGGCAGTATAATTGAGCTGTTGGGTAGCGTGGTAGACTCGAGTTTTTGGCACATGAGTTCTTATGAGTAATTTATGAGAACCAAATGTTGAAAGGAATAGAGCAGTGACTTTTTTTAACAGACAACTGACACTAATAAACTACAAACATCAGATTCTCTGATGTTTGGGCATCAAAATGATCTAATTTCATTAGTACTTAGAAACTCATGGCTATCCCCAAGGACGATATAAGGACATGCCACTCGTACTGGCAGACTCGACTCTAACTTACTTGATAAGTTTGCAAACAATAAAGAGACAGTTGAAGTTTTCAACATCACTCACAAGGGATCTTGACTGTTCTATCTGTAATCAGACATATCTAAGTTGCCTTAACAGATACAACTACAGTTGCAATTTCAAATTTTGTGTTGTTATACTAAAGAATACGGAGTTTCGGGTGCAATCTAAGATTGAGAGAAAACGGAGGACTCAGGCGTCCTGAAGCGATGAGAAAACGTATGCCTCAGACAGGGGACTCATTAAAGAAGGCATAGCTACATGTTTTGTGGGCTATTGAGCGTAATATGAATCGTCTTATTCTACGTTAACTAACATGTACGGCCGTGGTCATTACAAGAGGATGCACCTGGGGAGTACCAACGGGATGAAGACACTTTACTATCTGAGGCTGAATGTGAGAAGGATCTAGGTGTGTACGTTGACAATTAGCTGAAGTTCTCGGGCCATTGCCAGAAGAAGGTAAATCAGGCAAATAAATCGTTAGGTCATATAAGAAGGTCGTTCAAATGTCAAGACGTAACGATCTTCAAGAGTGAAACGCTTCCCCACCTGGAGTACTGTCACCCCGTCTGGTCACCGAGATATACTTGGGACTGTCAGTTGATTGAAAATGTCCAGAGGAGGGCCACCAGACTGGTGCCTGCGCTTCGGCACCTCAACTACCCTGTGAGATTGGAGCACTATTTAGTCGAGTGTCCTTACTTGGAGCTGGCAGACTCTCGCACCACAAGGGGTCACAGCTCAAGGTTGAAGAAACCGCAGGCTCAGAAAACTGTGAGGGGTAACTTTTTCTGAGTGCGAATTGTGAACTCTTGGAACAATCTGCCAGAAGTGTTGTGACGGCACCGAGTGTGAGCCCTTTCAAAACCAGACTTGACCAACACTGGAGCATGTTCAGACACATTCAGGAGCCTGTGCATGCCCAGTTCTTGCCAACAGCGCGCAACAGAGACGTGGTCGATCGCCCAAGAAGGTAACGAGCCGATCAGTGGTGAAGAGGATAAAAGTAAAAAGTAAGAAAACTAAAAAAATATATATAATCAAAGAAAAAGTTATCGTATGGCTTTTATTATTATTTAATATCATCTAAATATCTCTGGAAAAATATCCATTTCTATAAAATCCTGATGTTACCCGTCTTCTTCGTTATTATTATTAATATTTAGGAAATTGCAGTGGGGAGGAAATTCGAAGAGTTACCCCAATAATTATGGCTTCCATTTTCTCTTTCATTTCATTTTTTGATGACATATCTTGTGTAAGTGATTGTATAATAAAACGTACTCTTTTTGCAACACTGATAATTGTCGAAGATGCATTTGTTTTGATTCACTACAAGATTATGATATATGTTAAACCCAACCACGGAAGCTGTAGCCCACAGCAAGTTCAAGTATAAATAGATCTTACGAGCAAAATCCCTTTCCCTTCGTCCGAGTTTCATTATTTTTCGTGTGTAAAAATAATTGCCAGTCACTATATTGTCATCAGAATCAATGAAAAAAATACAAAATATGTGACAAATATACTTGTGTTCATAATAGCCATGTATTTGAAAGCTTACCGCTTAAGAATTAAACTTTTAAAAGGGAATGAAAAAAGAAAATGTGCCACGTGTTGTACCATATCGTTCATGGTGCTAAAAACAACACATGTGCTACCTAGTATAGAAGCAACACGGCACTCGGCACAGCAGTTGTGGCTGTGAGCAGCAGTGCATTACAGTGACTGTGTCTGATTTATTATATGTTTTCATACCACTAGCTCTCAGTCACCATGGAAAGGTAAGTTGGCAGCTTTCTCTAATATACTCCAATGTTGTTCTACTTCGACGTCCAAAAGTTGATTATTGTACTAGTTCTGTTCACATTCTGTTGTACTGCCTTAAATACCGCAATTGTATTAGAAATTATAGATTTCTACGACTTATAACTACATCACTAGTTCAATAGTATTTGTTATTCTTATGGAAATAATACTTATTATATTATATCATATTGTATAGTTTCTATTTGTAATATTCATGCTGGAGAGTAACACGTTGTCACTGATGTTACAGACCTGGGCAGGGAACAAGTGAGCAGGAAGTGGAATATCTGAAGAAAGTGTGTTCAGATGTGACGTTGTACAGCCTTAAGGAAGGGTTCTTCAAGCATTATATGGAGCAGATAGATGCACAGGTATCTCAAGATTACCTCCATAAATTTGGCCAGCTGAAGAATAATGAAGCGCGAATTATTAAGACCTGGGCTGTCAAGGTGGGTGGAAAATTTTAGGAGTTTTAGAGTTTAGGAGAATATTTGAACATTCTGAAAATTTTGGAGAAAGTTTCCTAAATATAATGTTACTTGTTAAACTCGGTGAAAGTTTTCATGGTAGCGCTCTTGTATACTAATGGCTCTTGTTACCTAAGATTCTGCAAAAAACTATATTATTTCTAATACAGATGGAACGTATTAATAAAAAATGAATATTAAATACCATTATCGTTCTTATAAGTTGTTACAAAGGTATTAAATCAAAACTGGGTCAGGTTATTTTATTTATAATGAAAACAACTAAGAGGTTGAGGAAGGTGTTCATGTCCCTTTTTATATAACGTAAAACTTCCTTTAAAACCATTGTTTTATGCAGTGAAATTCTGAATATTAATAAAAAATAATGATACTTTTAAATGTATATTCAAGCTTCGTATCTCGAATACTGTCGTATGTAGCTCTAGGAAACTTGAGTACGTACTGTCGGTAGGACTAAGGACTAAAAATCCTTGGGTAAGATGACTGAAGAAGATACAGTTAATGGGAAGAGAGATTGTAGGTAAATCGAGTCTCCAAGGAAGGTGTTGAATGAAAACTTAGATAGATAGTACAATCGTCTTACAATTTGTTTGGAATGTATATAGACAATCTAAATATATATATATATATATATATATATATATATATATATATATATATATATATATATATATATATATATATATATATATATATATATATATATATATATATATATATATATATATATATATATATATATATATCTTGATAAAATCACACGGGAAAAGGGAAACAACGGAGCACCTTAGCTTTCGTCTTTATTCAAGACATCTTCAGAGGCAACTGGATTACATGGACAGAGAGAAGCTTAAATATACAGGGTGACCTTAAAAACATGAGGTCAGGTCATAATGATGTCATCCACTAATCCCCACACCAACACACACGTAGAGGAGCTTAAGAGAAGGGGGGTGACGTAACTAGTCAGGTCAGGTCAAACATAAAGGACCCACTAAATAACTATCGTACATCTAGATCAAAGGTTTTCAAAGCATTTTTAACCTTGGGCCACTGACAAATTAATTTATGTAACATTTTATCAGTTTTGAACTGACCATCACTAAGGTTTATTGATTTTAATTCCTTAATCAAACTAGCTTCAACCAGAAATCTTTCTGTGACACAAGATGATTTAAATACTTCTAAGCTTTTTTCCCAAGCAATGGGATGATTATTATTCCTAACATGAACGAACAAGGCACTGCTTTCAGATGCTGTTCTGATATTATACTTATGTTGTTTGATTCTGAGCTGCAGTGTTTTTCCTGTCTGTCCTACACAATTACAATTACATTTGCTACATGGAATACAATAAACACTTCCATTTACATTCAAACTTGGGCAATTTCTTATTAACTTATTGGTAATGGTTGAGTCATACTTGAAAACAACATTAATATTTAGAAGCTTAAGGGACCGAACTAACGGGACAAATTCATTACGATAGGGCAGAGTCAAATTATTCTTAAGTGTAGGAATTTGCCTGGTTTCTGAGGAATGAAAGGATTTTTTAGCCCTTTTAAAACAACGATCAACAAACACAGAAGGGTACCCGAGTTTCTGTGCAATGGAACGAATGTGACAGCCTCGTTCAGTCAATCAGTTTATACTGTATACTCGTAGGTGGCCTCGGAACGGCCACACACTCTCGCTCCGTGCTAGAGCACAGTTCTCCTCGTTACACCAATAAACTGGCAAACAGCCTGAGTTTTCCCTAGACCTAAGCACTACATTGGTGACCCCGGAGTGACCGAAAAGACGAGGTCTTGTTACCATCTCAGTACCAAGCGCATCTGGTGCTGCTCCAGCTGTCGACGACGCTGCTGTGCTGTCTACCGTCGTCCGTACTGCTGCTCCGGCCTCCATTGGCTCCGACCCGGATCTTTGGCTACTGCAGCTCAACAGCTACTTCAGGGCATGCCAAATAACTGCATCTGCCACGAAGTACCACCAAGCCGGGTCGATGCTACCACTTACTGTCGCCATGGAAGTATACGACATCCTCACGGCACCCCCGACGGAGGAGCCTTTCAAGAAATTGAGCTTAGCGTTACGGGCGCGGCTGGGCGCATCTTCTCGTCAGCGTATGCAGCAGTTGTGAAGGGACGAATTCCTTGGCGACCTCCAAGCGTTCCCATCTCCTGCGAAACCTCCGCCACTTGCTCTCCACCACCGGCACCTTGTCGGAAGACCTCATTCTCCGTCCGTTGTTCCTACAGTACAGCGTTTGCCAGCCAACGTTCAGGCAGCGCTATCCATATTTCCAGAGAACACCTCATTGGACGTCATGGTGAATTCTGTTGACCGCTTCTTGGAAGCGTCTAGTTCTATGACTGCCAGTGTCTCGTCCGTGACACCAACACCACAAACCTCTTCTACCTGAAGAAGACCGGCAGCCGGTCACAGTGCCAGCCTATCTACTATACGCTCTCATCGGTGTCCTTAATTCTGTCCAGATAGCGTCACGGCCTCCCTGTGAATGTCAACACAGCCCAGACAACCACCGCAGAAGTTCAAGGCAGCGTCACCAGCAGCGAAGGCGATCGGCCTCTCCTGCAGGCTACAGATCGTCAGGATAGTCCAACAACCTGTGCTTGTACCATCGCCGCTTCAGTGACCGGGACTCCAGTTGCCAAATGCCTTGCTCCTGGTCGGGAAACGAGTCGCCCCGGTCGTAAGTGCGGCAACCGTCCAGGAGCGAGAACCTGGCCGCCTCTTCCACCTCACAGATCACTGTACCGGTATGAGCTTCTTGATGACACTGAGTGCACTTCAGTGTACTGCCGAAGCCCAGCGGCCAAGCAATACCCACATCAACTGTATGTGTTCTGGGTATCAAGTTCTATATACAGGAGCGAACACAACACCTGTAGAGTTTTCGTAGGTTCTATTTACTGGATAAAGATATGTACACAAGGAAGGTGGCGCTCCTTACTCCGTATGGGGGGGTCAACTAACTTCTCGGGCGACATGTGGTAAGTGATGCATTAGCAGCTTCCATATGTCGCCAGGCACATTAATTAAGCATGTGGGACATGGTAAATACATTGCCACACGCTGCTAGCTAGGCTGAATAAATAGTGTATATAAATGGAGCACATACATAATATACATACAGCATACATAATATACATACACCTCCCTCCCCCCTATATGCTCATAGCAAAGTCTTGAGCGGAACTTTTCTTTTGGATCCGTTCTGAGCGTCGAGGGACTTGATCACTGGGAAGGGTATGGGACTCAACACTGGTGGCGGGGTCAGCAGAAGGCATTGTTACGGGGCGGAGAAAACGGCGGTTCCTCCACCACACACGACCACTGGGTAACCGCACCTGGTAGTCCCGTGACCTACCGAGACCCATGACTACGCCCACTTTGTCCCAACGTAGGGAGGTCGGGTCCTGAACACGGACTTGGGTGCTGACACTCAACCTGGGGAGAGGACGGGCGTGGTCGTTGTAGCGGGCGACGACGTCTTGAACACGTTCGGCGGCTCGGCGATCACAATCCTCTGTCTTGGCCTACCACTCCTTGGAGAAGGATTGAGGGTGAGCAGGGACACAAGAACGAAGGGGGCGTCCATACAAGACCTGGGCAGGGGAGCGTCCGGTGTAGTTAGGTGTGTTGCGGAGTTCAAGAAGACCCCGGTCGAAGGCCTCGCAGTCAATATTCCCAGAAGGGGCCACCTTAAGGATGAGGTGCTTCAAGGATTTGACAGCAGCCTCAGCGTGGCCGTTGGACTGCGGGTAATGGGGCGATGACAACACATGCCGGACTCCCCATCGGTCAAGGAACACAGCAAAGTCCCGGCTTGTGAACTGAGGCCCTCCGTCGGTTCGCAGGCGCACAGGAACGCCCACGTCACGGAAGTAGTGGCGGAACTTGCTGATGGTGGCGGCAGACGTCGTGTCATTACCGCACTTGATGACAACCGGCCAACCAGAGAGACGGTCGACGATAACAAGGAAGGACTTTCCTGACACAGAGAAAAAGTCGGCCGACACAGACTCAAAGGGGCGGGTGGGGTTGTCGTCACTCATGAAGAGTTCCTGCTGCTGGCTGGGTTGTGATACTTGGCAGGGCTCACACTCACGGACAACATTGGAGATGTCGGAGTCGATGCCGGGCCAGAACACAGTCTGTCGTGCACGTCGTTTGGTGGCCTCAGCTCCACGGTGACTGTCGTGAAGGCGAGCCAAGACACAGGGACGTGAGGCAGCAGGGACAACTACACATGCTCCGTACAGAACAAGGTCTCCGTCGCAGTAGAGATCATCGCGGAGTTTCCAATACGGGAGCAGGGTGTTGTGAAGGTCGTAGCGGTTGCTAGGAAATCCATTCCTCACACACTCGACAAGTCGGACGTAGGAAGGGTCATCTCGGGCCGCTGTTCGAAGGTCCTCCATTGCCTTGTCGTCATCTGGTGACAGGTCCGAACGAAGGGATTGGACGGCGTGTAGAGTGACCACAGTCCTGACGGAAAGAGCGAGGTCGGCGTTGAGCACATGGTCTTCTGGAGTAGGGCGGCTGACAGGAGAGCGGGATAAGGCATCAGGGATGCAGAGTTCCTTACCAGCACGCCACTCTGGTGTGATGATGTACGCCGAGAGCTTCTCTTTCAGACGCTGGAGGCGAGGGTTCTCAACGGCGTCCAGCATGTAGTGGTTGAGGATCGGGACAAGCGGGCGATGGTCGGTCACTAGGTGAAAGTGTTGCAGGCCTATGAGGTAAAACCTGCACTTGGACATCGCCCAAACCACAGCCAACAGCTCCAACTCAATAGTGGCGTAGCGCGTCTCGGTGTCAGAGAGGAAACGCGAGCCACACTGGACGAGCCGGAACTGCCCTCCACCGTGATCCTGCAATAGGGCGTATCCCTACGCCGTACAAGCGTGAGGCATCTGTCTGCAGAACCGTCG